TGTCTCCTTGATTGAAACTACCTTTCCATCCATTTGCTTAAGTACTTACTTAGAAAATGTTACAAACTATCTAATTAGAATTATCTTCTTTTGGTGATTTGGTGGTTCATAAATTATAGTCGTTCACCATTCAATTTGGCATCAAGAATGAAGAACATTTTTTATTCAGTTCATGATTAAGAAAAGAAAAAAAGAACATATAGTCGCTTAGTTGTGACACATTTTACATTGAATATGTCGTTCTATAATTTATAACCATGGTTGGCTATAATGAATACAATTGTCACCCGTTGTCTTCTTAAAATGTAGAATAAAAAAACATTTATTTAATTTTTTTATTTGAAAGGTACATCTTTAATATCTTGCTACGGCATCAAATTCTTAACAAGTGAGCAAATAACGCTTTAACGCAATAACAGAAAATAATTGTATTTATAAATTTTGTGCAAACTCAATTTTCACCGATATCTCTTCTCCCTAATAACTAACAATTTAATTCACTAATAATATCGTTTGTAAAAAAAAAAAAAATTATTAACAAGAGAGAGGAGTAGGGCATGCCCGCATGGGCTAAGATAACTCAAGAAGGGATAGATGCATGTGGAGACAAATTATTGTGTGTTTTGGATATTAATTGAGGATTAGTTCAATGACCACCGAGTTTATAGAATATTAATTATAAATATTTATATATTACATGCATGTTTCCTAGCTACGTGTTGATTTCCTATATCTAAACTAGAAGCTAGTAGCTATCTCTTCGTATATATTAGCATGCTAGGATTTTGTAACATTTACACATTTAATTTTTTTTGCCTAATTTAGAAGAAAGGTGGCAATGGCATGACCTAGGTGATGTGGAGGAAGAGTAGGGCGTGAGATAAATTGGTAAGCAAAACCCATCAACTTTGAATGAGAGTTTATCTTTTTATTATAAACAATCTGACGAGAGATTCTCTCTTGCAACTATTTTATATTTTCAGTTGTGTCAACTAGTCACATAATTAAATATGCCACAAGATAGCATTTTCTTTTCTCAGGTACTTATTTTATGGTTGTAGCTTGAATAAAAATGAAGTAGGAATTGTCATTTCACGTGGCAGGGTGACTAATTCGAAAGACCAATTAGAATTTAAACATACAATGCGTTACATAATCTGAAAGACTGAAACATAAGTAAATACTAGATACTCATAAACTCAATAAAGAAAATAAACTAATTTTTGCAAGATATGGTATGTTTTAACCACATATCTTATGACGTGCGATGAATCTTAGCAGCCAAGTTATTGTCACCCTTTTCTAAATTAACAAAACTTGACTACCGATTATGCGGGAAATAACACCCAAGCAATTAAAGTGTAACCTGGATAAGTCTAAAACGGAACAAATTTTATCCACTAGTTTCTACCAATCTTATACTAATTTTATCAGATGGAGCATCAACTTTGAAAAATCTGAAGAATTAGTTGGGAATGATTGTCACGCTGTCAAATTTAGCTTTGGTCAAGATCCATGCTTAAAATGGACGGGAAATAAGAAAGGTATTTACTAAATACAGCTTAATGATTAGAAACGGAAAATTATTTCTAATTGGTTTGTTAATTCTTGTTTGCCACTCAGTACTACGGTCTAGTAGTATTATTCTTCACTTGTAAGCGAGAGGTCTTAGGTTCAAATCTCGTGGATGACGAATTCAATACCAAATTAGGTTGTTCGTCCAAGTCCGTAGCAGTTTTGTTCCTTTAGATTTAAGATTATTGTGGTGACCAAACGATCAAATATTAATCCGACGACGGAGCAGAAAATAAAATTACAAACGTTAAATAAATATTCATTTTGATTGAAGATCCAACAGTGGAGAAGAAAGCAAAATAACAAAATTTAAATGAGTATTAATTCTCATCGATAGTTAAATTAAGATTAAAAGGTTATTAACCACGATTTCCTTGGATCATAAGATTCCAGAGGACGGGAGTGATACCATTTAATCCATGGCTATTAGATAATCTAAAAAATAATGTCACATGTTTCACATAAAGAATGCGAGACGTACTAAGCGACAAATAATTCCGTTGTTTTTGTTGGTTACGGAACCAATAATTTGATGCATGCACTAACATTTGTAGAAAATGAACATTTGAACATCAATAATACTTATCCAGTTTATCCTCAAAAAGCAAAAAGTCTCCGAAAACAAAAACCATGAAATCATTTCATCATCTATCAAGTTATCATCTATCAAGTTGATGTATATATATAAAGTCCAGGGGGACGGGACAGAGTTTTTTGGGTGCAACGGCTCCTTTTCTTTAGCGAGAGTTAATGTCTCGTACATAATTGTTGACAAATAGCTAATTTGATCTCGTTTTTTTACAATATATATATATATATATATATATATATATATATATATATATATATATATATATGTATATAGTAAGTTTATTGGTCGTTGTCAATTTTTAAAAATTAATGTTCAGGAGTATTACGTATTGTTAGGTATAACTGGTTTGTATATACCAAACTGATAAATTAGAGGAGGCCCCTAAAGCTTAAAATGTACCCTATACCTATAGAGACGTCAACATTACATGATTTATCAAACGAAGTCTTGTTCGTTTGTCAAATTTGTTATACATTTTAAGATATTCGAATCCCAATGCTTTAATATAAGGACCTATGTGGAGTCCTATCATATTATATTATGCAAGTATGGTCACTTTGATTTTAAGACTCTGAATAATCTTTTTCGTAACGTATGTTAACAAAGATAAATGCATCTAATTATAAACATAATTTTCATTCATAAGTAAAGCAATCACTTTTGCCGACCCACATGTGCGAACGTCAATTAACATTTTGAATACATATACAATACAAAGACGAACAAAAGTAAAATATCGTCAACATTGCTTATACTTCATGAAAACCTTGACACACGAGTACAATTACCGTTAGTATGACAATTACCGCATATGCGTTGACACCATAAACGTTTTCGAATGAAAATTAAGAGTCACTTATACAAATTCAGATGAAGTTGATTCACAACGCTTCACAATTACCCGCATACGCATTGACAACAGAGTCACAAACATGCCCTCATCAAGACTAAAATGAATTGGACGGGTGTGATGAGTCGATTAGGGAGGTTGCAAGAGAGTGAGTGTGGAGGAGCAAGCAGCTAGCAAACCCTCTTGTGCCCTTTTATGGGTTTGGAAAATGTCAGGAGGATCCTTGTCTTATTCTTCAATTATATACGTTCATCGTACATTGTGTGATCAAAAATTATTGTAAATTCTTTTATTTAAAATTAAATATAAATAGTGTTTGATAAAAACTAACTGTACGATACACGATCTTCGAAATTCTTATAAAAATGATTCATCGAGATCCTGTTTTTGGAAAATAGACTGTAATAAAATGAGGATAGTGTCCAGGTGGCAGAAACAGTCCAAAGCCGAACCAAACAAAACCAAGCGTATCCATGCGATGCGCCTGAGCCTACTGTGTAGGCCGTAGCTCTCCCCTAAAGTAAAAAAAAAAAGAAGAAAACTGCCAAATGGGCCCACCCTCGCAGGCGTACCACCCGTACTCCCCCAGCGCCTTAATTAAATTAATTTAATCTCCTAAATCAAATCAAAATTATTTTTTATTCCTTTAAACTTTATTGCTTGACAAAAGTCAGTTCGGTGGTCCCCACGAGTCCACGCTGGCTCCTCGCACGTGTTCGGAGGGATGAGCAATTGTCGTGTTCCCTGCCTAACCAACCCCACACGTCTGCAGTTACGGTTGTGAATTCACTAAATATATAGAGTAGGATTTTTTTTTTCTCGTTTTTCTTTTTTTTTTATTTTTTTTTATTTGAACGATTAAGACGTTTTTAATATTTTATATTAATTTTTTTTTATACAAAAAGAAAGACAAAATAGAGAATTTGAGAGAAGGGGATGAAAAGAGGAGGGATAAGAATTCTAATCTCTACTAATTAATAAAACACTCATTTTCAATCAAAATTTTATGAAATTACCAATTTAAACCTGTAATTAAAACAGAACATGAATAAGAAATATAGGACAGAAATGTAATTTCACATAATCAAAATTTGCTTTTATTTTCAAAATCTCATCTATATGTAATTCTAACATATCTCTAATTAAAAAAAAATAAAAAATAAAAAACTTCTCACTCTCATATTCTCTACACTCCCTTCCTCTCTCCTATTTCAAAAATAAAAATAAAAATTTTTCTCACATACTTTATGTGTGTCTATATGCTAGTTCCGAATATATAAGTAAAAGGAGACAGGCTGGGCATGGTGACTTGGCGCTTTGGAGAGTAGCTGTGCGTACGTGGCGCTCCTGCAGGCCTCAGCGGGCAAACTGCCGCGTGGCAGATGTCCACAGTGTTAGTTGTCATCACTCTCTCTCTACTTTCTCTCTCCTCTTTATTTCACTTGATTAATCACGGGAAATAAATAGTAATTAATTATTTAACAAAAAAGAAATAAATAGTAATTAATTATTTATGTGCGGAGGACGAAAAACAGAAAGACGCGGCCCTGGCGTTCCGTATATGCCCCTCAGTTATCGCTGAAATTGCGGACTGACCGGATCACTGTTACTGTGTCGGTTGCAAATTAGGAGTCAAGTAAAATTGTAAAAATAAAACAAGCAGAATACGGAAGGGTCTTTGTGGTAACGGGCATCCAATATAGATAAAACGGTCAAACCACCATAATTTCTCTCTCTCCACTTTTTTATCTTTTTAATATTTTATAATTTAATTTTGTATTTTTTCTAAACCAATCCAAGCCCTAAATAAACCCCACCGTCCAGCCTTGCCAGTTGCCACCTCTATTGCATGCCCTTTTGTTCATTTCCTCCTCTCTCTTGTTCTCTCTCTCGCCTTAAAAGGCACCAAAAGCCCCTTTAAAATAAAAAACCAAACAAGAACCACTACCAAACTCCATAACGCTTCCCTCGCGCTCTCTCTCTCTCTACATATCTCACCAATTTGCAAACCGAAAGAAAACGTTTCCTCTTTTTCCTCTGCTTTCTTCTGCCTCCTTTTTCACCATTAAAATCATGGCTGTTGAAGCCCGGCATCTCAATCTCTTCCCTTCCCAACTCATACCCAACAGGTACTTTTCACAATCTCTCATCTTTTTTCTATGTGTTTAATCATCTGGGTCTCTAAATATTGATGTTTTCGGGAAAAAGCCTGATGGGTTTTTTTATTTTTTTTACAGGGACATGATGAATCCGATTCAGGGGAACGGAAATCTGTACAATACCCAGTTTGGGTACGGAGTGCCGTTTTCCACCGGAGGAGTGGCGGCGGAGGCACTGCTGCCGACGTACAACTCCGTGATCGCCGATTCCATAATGCCACCGAAGACCTGCGCCATGAAATCCGACAGTGGCCTCACCTACAACGTCCCGATTCCTCTCCCAAGAAAGCGGTCCAGAGACTCTGTTACCAACGGCATCAGCCCTTCGTTTTCGTACCCGGCTCCGCCGTTAACCAACTACAAAAACTGCGACCCCTTCTCTTTTCTCGGCGAGGACATTTCTCTGCACGTGCAGCAGCAGCAGTTCGACGTCGACCGTCTCATTTCCCAACACGTACGTACCCAAATACAGAGCAAAGAAATTTGACGGATTTGGACCGATTTGGCGTTTGATTATTTGATGGGTATTTTTGTATCGGTTTTATTGATCTGGATGGCGTTTATTTGATTTTACAGATGGAGAAGGTGAGATTGGAAGTCGAGGAGAAGAGGAAGCGGCAGGCGCGGCGGATAATGGAGGCGATTGAGGTCGGGATGGCGAAGCGTCTGAGGGCTAAAGAGGAAGAGATTGCAAAAATGGGGAAACTGAATTGGGCGCTGGAAGAGCGGGTCAAGTCGTTGTGCGTAGAGAATCAAATATGGCGCGACCTGGCTCAGACCAACGAAGCCACCGCCAATGCCCTCCGCACCAACCTCGAGCAGGTCCTGGCTCACCATGCTAAGGACGACGACAACCGGCAAAACGACGCCAACGCCGCCGCGCTCATGGATGACGCCCAGTCATGCTGCGGAAGCAGCGGCGGGGACGAGGGTCGAAACGACGGAGTCGTGGGGTTAGACGGGTGGCGCACTGTCAAGGGTACTATTAATGCTAAAGCTGCGGAGGGGCATGTCGGGGATGAAGGTACAAGCGGGGCATGCGGGTCGAGTACAAGTAGGTGGTGCAGGAGTTGCGGGAAGGAGGAGGCCTGCGTGTTGCTTTTGCCGTGCCGGCACCTTTGCTTGTGCACGGTGTGTGGATCATCGCTGCATACTTGCCCCATCTGTAAATTCACCAAGAACGCTAGTGTGCATGTTAACATGTCTTAAGATCAAATTAGTTTCACCTCCAAAAAGAAAAAAGAATACAAATTTTAATCACTATAAATTTGTTTTTTTCCCTCCAATTTTGTCTTAACTTCTTTTATTATTTTTATTGTGAGTAATTTATAATTTTAATATTATTTTGTTATTAATCTTTAGGTATAAATTTCACCCCACCCAAAACAAATCGTCGGTGAAAAATAGATTTGAGGGTGCAAATTTCAACCCATTCGATCTTTGTTTGCATTTTCTTTTGGTTTTTTAATCCAACAATTAGTTTTGGATAGAAAAACGGATAATGGGCGCATTTTAGCCTAACGCGGTTCACGTTAGCAATGCAGATGCGCATGTTAGCGACGGTAGTTCAGAGTTTATGGCACAAAGGCCGAACGTGTGTGTTTGTACGTATTTCGTCTTTTTTTTTTTTTTTTTATCGGCGGGTCCCGCCGCGCATCAACCCCTGCAGGCTGCGGCTAGTCTTTCCTAGACCAACTAGGTAACACGAAACGGAGGTGCGTCGCGGGGACGCGCGACTTCCAAAGTGTGGGGTCAACAAGGAAGGCGACAGGTGTGAGGCAAAAGCTGACACGTCGGACGTGCGCGCGCAAATGTTGCTGTGGCAAAAGCACTCATCACTGCCTGCAAAGGGCCACTATTTCTGAAAAGTTAATAAAAAAATTAATAAAAGGATTAGTGTAAATAAATAATAAAAAATGGGAGATATAGAAAAAGGGTAAAAAATCTGGGGAAAAGTTGGATAAAGTCCAGGAGTGGGCAAGATCATGGGCACAATCCAATTACTATTAGCATATACTTGTTGCGTAAGCGTAACCGAGACGACGACGTATAAGCACAAATATCGAGGACACATAAAAACTGTTGGGATTCCCGAAGCCTGGTGGTGGTTGAACGAGGCGTGTCCTACGAACGTTACTATGTGCCTCTCTCTTTGGTCCCTTTCATATTGCGACAAGAAGATAATCACATTGCCCTCCGCTCCTGCCTGTGCCCCTATTGTTTTCCTATTTCCTTTTAATTATTTATTGCTAATTACTTGGTTTTTTTACGGTAAATTTGGAATTCCACCTACGAATATTAGGGTACAGAAGGAAAAGAAGTGGGGGGTGTCCTAGTGAAGGGCGGCCTGCCCTGGATTGGAAGGTGAGAGTCAGTGGAAGAGAAATAAATGTCGTTTGTGCTGGATTTGGCGATGCAAAGCCATTGGGTTTTGGGTAAATTGGTAACCATAAGTGGTCCACCTTTGTGTAGGTTGGTACGATCCTCCGTCTAGATGTTCAGTCTGTAGGGCTAGCTCATACGGTGATGAATTAGGTCAAGGATTCGATTTCATCCGAACCGATCCGATCCGATCATAGTGATTATCAACTATAACATTATGTGAATCATCATATCAGCGAAATTCTATTGATTCGATACGTCGAATAGTTATGTAAATCATAAGGGTTCAATTTTTCTCATCGTTGAAACGTCTTACATGTTAGGTTGATATAATTTAATCAAGAATTAGAACCAAAATTAGAAAATTATAATAATTAAGAGATGAGGTTGTACTTGCTTGGACATGGGGTTATGATGAACGTGAGGGGCACGTGATGCGTGGGTGGTGTTTTCCTTTTCAAGATGTGGGGAAAATAAATTGAATGATAAGATACGCAGTGTGGGAAAGAATTGTGAATTATTCATTCCCCCTCTCATCACCCACGCCAGTGATCACCTCTTGTGGGACTCTTGGAAATTAAAATTATGCTGCCCAAATATTTTAAATATTATTTTTGGGGTCCCACCACATAAAAAATCAAAATTCAAGCAAGGAATTACGTATCTGATTTTACATGCCGATATATAATTTTATTTTTTATATGCAAGTTATATAATTGGGTGGGTCGATGACATTATGCTTTGCTGTGTTTAGCATGTTTGCATATTTTTATGCAAAAGCGAAATTAGTGGCTAATTAACCTATTTTAATTAAGATTTGATCAATCACAAGCTCCACCAACCAAACTCGGATTGCCATTAACTTCTTTTTTTATTTTTATAAATCAAATACGATATTCATTCCATTGAAAATTTCGAAATATGTACAAATTACATGAAACTCGATAAAAATCTTTCAACCTGATCGAAGGAAAAAAAAGCATCGTGCACCAATACATTTATAAATTAGTTCTGTCATCGAAAAAAAAAAATCACTTATTACATCAAGATAGTCTTTAAACCAAATTCTTCTATCATCCAATCGTAGCCCACCCTTGCTAATCTGTGTCCGACCTATTTGCTTCCGTCGGCATGTGGTTGAGCTTTGTATGAGGAAATGAATTAATGGTCTTACCATTAATTTTCACACAAAAAGATTAAAAATAAATGTTATCAAGAAATTGTTATGTAATTCTAGAAACGTAATCCATCAAGTGGAATTACGAAAACGTGGGAGTCAATAACAACATAAAAGTTTCAATCATCTGGAAGTGTTGGCTAAATTAAAGGTCCAAAACGACAACCAAAAGAAAAGGTCAACATATAATTATACTAAAGAAAATAAAAAATTAATTGTGTTTTAATTTTCTAGTACAGCAAATTGATTTGGAATTTTTGTTTGAGCCCCATAAAACAATTATTGCTAATACCGCCCCTCTGGCCTTCGAACAATAATTCTCTCCATTATTTTTGCCCATGGGAAAAGACAAGTTTGAAATAGGCATCCTCTAACCTTCGCTTTTATTTCTTCGTTTTTTATATTTTGACCTTTGTTTTGTTTTTTTTTTTTTTTTTACATTTTTGTTTTGGTTGACAACGGAGCTTAAATGTCCAACAACCAAAAATTACCATAAAACAGGCCTAAGGATTTCAACAACGTTCGTCACTAAGAGATGTCGACAAGAGGCAAAGCTTCATTAAAAATGCTAGAACAGGCTATAATCGAATTAAAAATGGTTAAGTTAACAATGTTGGTAGTTGAGTTTTCACAAGATAGACTTTAGGTTAAATCCACTTATTTGTGATACGACCAATAATATTAAAGTGACCTTCTATCTGAAGTAGTCGTGCACAGAAACTTTTCAGCTTCGGTATCATTGTTTCTCTCTTCACATGATAAGTCACGCAATGCGAAAAAAGTGATCAAAATAATGAATCAATAATTAATGTATCGAGTTTTTTTTCTCCAATAATGAATGTATCGAGTTTTTTTTTCTTTCTTGTTATGGATGTGGGGTATATGAGAATTTTAGGATATTGAAGGTTCCAACCTAGCTACACCCTTGTATAATACCGAGATTCGAGTTCTTGAGTCGAGTTACTTAGAAGTTTATCCATATTGCAACACATGCACATCACACGCTCTATACGTTTTAATATCTTATTAAACTCATAACACTATCCACACCCACGTACATAATTACCATGTCACACATAATAATCTTGGTTAAGTCACAAACAAACTTTAATTTTCAATACCTTTCTCGGCTTTTTGGTTAAGATCAAGTGTAGTATTTCATACATTGGGTATGTGATCCATAAAATATTTTCCGTAAGTTTAGGATGAAAATTCAAAATGCCAAGGGCAGGCGGCTAGTATGTATCAATCAGTTGGGAATATCTTCTCCAATAGTGCTGGCCACCCTTCACTTTTATTCTACGCAGCCTGTTTGTTCCATTGCTATTACTTAATTAATACCAGTAATCACCCTTCACTTTTTTATAAGCCGGAAAAGAAAGGAAAGATTACATAAGAATATCACAAGGCCACTAGATCCCAGCTAAATCTGCAATTAGCAACCAGTTATAAGAAGGAGGAGCTTATTAAAAAAAAAGACTGGACTCAAATTGCATGACAAACCCAAACAAGCTAAATGATCAGCAACAAAAAATAAAAAAAAAATCCCAATAAATAGGAAGAATTTTATAATACCAATCTTGATGCACAAGGACACGACAATTTAGTTGAATTGGCCATCTTATACTATATACTAATAAAAAAATTAACTTTCGGAAAAAATCAATATATAATTTTGTTTTTTAATACACCATAAAATTAACGGATGAGAATTAAAAAAACAAATCGCATCATTTTATCATTTTTATCGAATCTATTAATATTTTAGTGCACGTAAAAATCATGTAGTATTTAAACCGCATGTTTTTTAGTACAACGATATATTTTACAATAAAGGGGTGAGGGGATTCGGCTAAGCCATACAACAGACAAGCTAATTTGATATCGAATTCGTCATCTACGAAATACGAACCTAAAATATCCCACTCATAAATGAAAATGAATACTATCAAATGTTAATACCGAGTGACATTCAAACTGCACGTTAAAACGTGATATCTCCAAAAATGATAACTGGTGAGACCGAAATTAAGGGCTGTTATTAAAAGGTGCCCCATATTGTTTAGAGGTTTTTGTTCGGTCCAATTCAAGCAATCAAATCAACTTCAAATTTGTCCTACTAATGGTCCAATTAGGAACCACATGTCCTAATTGCAAGACACAAATTATAAAATAAAAAATAAAAAAGAGAAAAAAAAGGCGTTAGGCCCCACGAAAACAGGTGCAAACAACCAAAATTAGCATTTAATTGGAGAGAGGGTAAAACAAAAGACATCACAAAAATAATGGGAGATTTTGTTTTGTGGGATTTGGATGTTGGGGCCCACAGTGGGGGATCTGGCAGATATCAGGACCATCTGTCCCTTTATGACCAGCAGCATGCCCTCTACAACACGCGAATCGGATTCCCACCCAGTTCGGTTTCCCTTTCCCTTTCCCTTTCCCTTTCCCTTTCCCTTTCCCATTTTTCTTTAATTTAATAATTTATTTTATCATTATCCTTGTAATACCTTGTCTATCTTAATTAATTAATTTGATTAAGTGTTGATGATGATGATGATTTAGTTGGGTTCCGTATCAGCATGAGATAATAATTATTTATTTCCATGGCATTTTTCTACTGACTGACTAGTGTTAGTGTGGATGTGACAGATAATGATGCATTAATTTAGTAATGATGAAAGACCTTTTTAATTGATTGTTTAATTGTGCAAATTGGACTTAATC